GCGTTTGTCCTCAAAGCTGTAAAGTTTAGGCACCTAACAGATCAAACTATTTTCCAAATCCTGCTTCTTAACTAAAATATATTACTCTAAGGGCCTTGTTTGGATTCAATTGGAGGAAGTATTAAGAAGAAAATATGCTCCCAAGTCACACTTGACTCACATCCAGGAAATAGTGGCAAAGTTATAGAAGTGGTTTGCCATTTTTCAATCTAGCATGCACCTCTAGAATTCACTGGTGGCCTCTCATTCAAGTACTAATCATGGCCAACCATAGTGACCTTCCAAAGGTAAATTGGCTTGGAGTTCCCACCTTCTACTATCATCCACTGGCCATGCTCATGCTTGTTTAGGGAAGGGGAAAAAGTCCCAATATGTCATGTGACACCACCGTGACGACATGAATTTGACACCCCTGATTCAGATTCAATAACATGTCTCTGGGTAAGGGTAAGTTATGAAATGTGCATTTGGATGTCATGAGGCAAAGCACATGACTTGCATGTAATATCAAGGTACAGGTGTGTTGGGACATTGTAACACAGATTTCATCATTTTTTGTTATCATGCTTTATACCAGATACCTTTACTGCTATGTGTTTTTCATGTCTTTGCTAGTTTTTTTTCCTAAGAGAATACATTCTCAGTTCAGTTCAGTTCTTTATTGTGGTAATTAATCAGAACAGCTAACAAAGTATAATAAATTAGGGTAAAATATAATTGCTTGCATAGTTTAAAAGGATGTAAATAACTATTCATGCACTAAAGAAATTTGATTCTGCCTAAGCAGGACTTATTTCTTTCAAGCAAAGTGCAGTTTTATTGTGTACTATAGTTGGACATCTTCAATGAGAGGAATTGTTTGAGTAAATAAAAAGCACATTTGAACCATCTCATTTGCCAAACGCCTTTAAAGCTCTACTTTGTGAGTTCCAGAAGCCTGCCAGAAGTTCCAGGTGCTACAATTTGCATAAGACTTTGCAAAAGCTAAATCAGATGCTTCCTGGAGTTTTGAAGGCCTGTTTGGTCCCCAAACTCAGCTGTCACTAATAAATATTGAACTTTTAAAAGATAAAAGCATCAGCTTTTTTGGAATGTTTCCACATAAAACCATGAAATCAAACAAAAGTTTTGCTTGAAATTTGCCTAAGAATGTTCTGGAATGTGGCCAAGAATGGTTGAAAGGACAGAGAACTACTGGCCTTTTTTCTGCAAATCTGGCACAATGTTCAGTTTTTCATTGCAGGGATTGGAGAAGACCCAAATGATTTACAGTTTATCCTGTTGTTCAGGCTAATCCACTTCTATTATGGGAAGTGAGAAAAAGTACCCTGAGAATAAGCACTGGTTTAATTTAGACACTATGTATACATAGCCAAATACATACACACACACATAAAATATTCAATTTATGACAGCATAATTTAACATGTCAAGTTTACTGGGGCACGTGATTTCTAAAAAACAAATTGTGGCATGAGAATCAAAACACAGTGCACGCTTGTATGTCATTTCTTAAGACTAGGGTTTAGTAATATACAACTAATGTATATAGTTATTTACTTCATCATATTTCTAAAGTGACTTTGATAGGAATGACACTTGACCCACCAGTATCACTTTCAGAGGCAGATAAGTCATCCACTTGAGTCAGTGACAGTAGAACATCAGAACATAATTCATCATTGTGAGTTTATTTACATAAATGTGTATATGGCTTCTAGTTTTGTTTATTTGATTCATTTTGTCATAGGGAGGTTTTTGTGGTCATGTCACCTATTTGTTGCATTAGATACACAAGTTTATCCTGAGGTGCCAATTAAGATGCTGACTTTCATTTGACAGACTTGAACAACCACACTTTCACATATTGCATGAACTTGCCAGTCCTTCAAATGTTGAACACTGTTGCCTTCAGAAGCTGGCTTTGGAGTGACATATAACTCAGTGGTGGGATTCAAATTTGTTTACTACTGGTTCTGTGGGCATGGCTTGGTGGGCATGGCAGGGGAAGGATATTGTAAAATGGGGTCCCCAGCTGGCTGAGGAATTCTGGGAGTTGAAATCTACCAAGTTTGGAGACCTGCTGTAAAATGTCCAGTCAGAGGTAGTATTTGCTGGTTCTCCGAACTACTCAAAATTTCCACTACCTGTTCTCCAGAACTGGTTAGAACCTGCTGAATACCACCTCTGAGACAACTAGAATATTATAATGTCATTTTATGATAACCAGAGCTCTCCATCCCACAAATTGAGGTCATCTTCTTTATTTGCTTTCTGTTGCAAAGCGAAAATTTGTTTCTTTCTGAAAGAGTCCTTTAGTCTATTACTATTTTTAGTTTGTGAAATATTGCCCTATATGTAAATTAGGTTATTTACATGATTTAAAACATATGTACTGAATGTAGTCCTGAACTTTCAGAGAGTAAAAGCGGAGGATGCATTTGTTAGAAAGATAAAAATGTTTATGGCTCAGTCGTATCCCATTTCTTAGACTACTAGCTTTTCTCAGCACAAGGCAACAGAATCTGACTAGGCTGATGACATCTTTCAACAAGAAAGTTGGGATTTGGAAACAAGGATTATAGCTAGATGAAGAACTCATGAATCATAGGAAGAGCACAGGTTGAAGCTTTGCCATCTCTAATTTGAACTATCTATTCGAAAACTTGAGCATTGTTGCCTGTCAGAGTAGAAAATGCTAGCTAATCTGACAGTTTGTTTTTTATTTGTTGGTTTGCTTTCATAGTGCACATCCTAGGCTCCAAAATCAGGTTTTCCCAGGTTTACCTATAGACTGACTTATGATGTCAACTGGCAGAAGAAAGATATATAACTTCCTGAGCTCCCAAATCCTTTACATGATTGAAATCTAGTCAAGGACCATTTGTAAAGAAATACAGTCACTGATCCTACACTCATTTATTTATATTTTTCACCAAGAAGATTTTATTGTACCAGAGTAGATAGAAATTGTGAGAAAATTGCTGCTGCGCTGCTGCAGGAGAATGTGATAGAAATGCATCAAGAACTCTTCTTCTGGGAATAAAGCTCTTTTATCACACTTTCCTCTTAATTTTTTTTCTCACAGTGAGCATAGTCTTGACAACTGGAACTGAACTCTGTAATTACTGTAGGAGGTTTATTTTCAAAACTTATTATGGCTATTAAAGGCCAGTTCTAAAAGTTGCTAATTACATTGCTCAATAATTTTGCTACTCTTCTGTGCCATTGTTGACTTGGAAGATACAAGAAAGGCACAAAGACAATAATGCTTTTCACCTCCCTTTAATTAAAACTTCTTCCTGTTTCTTGCTAATTTTCTTGGGAACAAGAAAGAGCAAATAAATTGAAGTGCTTTTTCTAGTTTGATTTGGTTCCTTGCTTTCCCTTGGTACAATGTAGTGTTGTTGTCCTCCTCTATGTGTAAAAAGAATCAAACATTTAATTGGCTGGAAGCATTGCTAGAAATAGTAGTTAGATGCATTAGTTGCTTTGTGAGTGGCCCAGTTTCAGGTTTTGTTGGGGAAATAAAGAATTACATCAGTTTTCATGTCATTAAAGTGGCTTTTATAAGTGGCAAAACAAGCATTCACTTCTGTTTAATTCTTCTTAGAAGCTTCCAAATCCCATGATTATATTCACTTCTGAGTCTAATTTTGTCAGGGGTGGTTATCATGCAGAAATTGCCATCTCTTGTTCTTTTTAAGTCATAATTGATAATGTGCCATCAAGTTGCCAAATCTTAGCAGCCACAAAGACAGATATTTTCCATGATTCCATGATCTGTCTCTAACCACAGCTTTCAGATCTTTCAATGAATATCATTGCCACTATAAGAAAGTTTAAGTCATGACAGAGATTTAAAATACTGAATGGGTGAACTGTATTTCCTTCCATCATTGTTACTAATCCTAGTCAGAAGTACTTCTAGCAATGGCCTACATGCAAGGGTGGGAGTCTACCAGTTTGGATCAGTTCAGGTGAATCGGATGTTAAATCTGGTTTGCCAAACTGGAGTGGCTGGCCCCACCCACCCCTCCCCTCCCAAGAGTCTCCATGTGGCCCATTTTCAATGCAGGAAAGTGCAGGGCCCACATGGAGGCTCTGGGAGGAGGAAAAACGGGCCTTTTGGAAGTACCAGAAGTCTGAAAATGGGCCTGTTTCCGGGTTCTGGAGGACCTCCAGAGCAGGGGGAGGCCATTTTCGCCCTCCCAGAAGCCCAAAGAAAGCCTCTGGATCCTTGGGAAGGTGAAAAACAGCTCTCCCAGAAGTACCAGAAGTCTGGAAATGGGCCTGTTTCTGGCTTCCGGGGGCCCTCCAGAGCCCAGGGAGGCCATTTTTGCCTTCCCAGAGGCCAGAAGGGAAGCCTCTGGACCCTTGGGAAGGCAAAAAATGGCCTTCCTGGAAGTTCTGATAGGCCAAGTCCACCATGGCCACGCCCACCCAGCGAACTGGTTGCTGGGATTTTTGAATTCCACCTGTACCTGCATGTGAGGGCTATACATTGACTACCTTAACAAATACATTCAGGTTTTTTTTAGCAATGATACAGATTATATCCTTCTAAGATATGTTCCATCCATGTATTATTCAGGGCCCAAATAGAGTTGGCTACGTGGTGCCATCTCCTGAGAAAGAGAAGAATGGCCCTAAATAATATGGTTTGTGCAACAGAAATGTAAGTAGTAGTAAATACTTTTCACATGTGACTGAAAAAAACAAGCAATAATACTAAGGGCAATCATGCATATTTGTTGTATGATAGAAAATGGGAAACTTGTGAAATCTGTATTGTAGTAATGTAATAAGCCAAAAATATTCTTGATAAAGTTTCAAAATTATCCCTTCTCCAACTTTAATTCAGAACAGAGCTGGAAGGGACCTTGGAGGTCTTCTAGTCCAACCCTCTGCTCAAACAAGAGATCCTGTACAATCTGAGATGAATGGCTCCCCAGTCTCTTCTTCAAAACCTCCAGATGAAGCACTCACAACTTCTGAAGGCAAGCTGTGCTACTGATTAAATTGTTCTCACTGTTAGGAAGTTTTTTCTTTAATTCCGTGTTGCTTCTCTTCTTGGTTAATTTCCATCGATTGTTTCTTGTCCTGCCTTCTAGTGCCTTGGAAAATAAGTTGATACCCCTCTTCTTTGTGGCAGCCCCTTAAATACTGGAATACTGCTTTTATGTCACCCCAGTCCTTCTTTTCTCTAGATTAGCCATACCCAATTCCTGTAACCATTCTTCATGGAGAACTTAATGGAGACTAATGGACTCACTCCAAGAAAGTCATGGAATCATTCAATCATTTTGCCTGCCTCATTCACAGAGGCTCAATTTTCCTCTCTCTCCCAAGCATGTGGATAATCCTAACTTGTGTAAGTTAGCCCATTCCTGTTCTCAAGAAAGGATTTTGAAACTTTTAAGTTAAAAATTATGTAGTAGTAGTACATTTTTTCCCTAGTAGTAGTAGCTACAAAGTTTGTTTCCATTTATTCAAAGCAGTACCTGATCTTTGAGCTAGATACTATTAAAATATATGTAGTCCTCGACTTTACAACCGTGTTAGGAGTTACAATGGCACTGAAAAAAGTAACTTATGACCATTTTTCACATGTACGACCATTACAACAGGGCATCCCCATGGGTCATTGGCGTGTATATATGACAGTTGCAGCATCCTGGGTTATGTGATCACAACGAAGTCAATAGGGAACCAAATTCATTTAATTCATTTAGCAACCATTTAACTAACTTAACAACTGCAGTAATTCACTTAATAATTGTGACAGAAAAGTTTTGGTTCATAAAATGGGACAAAACTCAATATCTGTTTTGTGTAGTAATGGAAATTCTGGGCTTTTGTTGTGTTGTAATTGTAAGTTGGGGACCACCAGTATATACATTTCATTATGTTTAAATTCAAGATCTCCAGCTTTTTGAAGCCCAACACAAATATACCTATAGTGAGCTTGAAGTTAAATTTGCAGGAACATATTGTGATCCACTTTTCTGTGATATTTTTTAATTTAATTGTCAGAACAGTATTTATATTTTTTGGAGGGAAGCCTAAAACATCTAAAATGGAAACCTCTGAAGAACCTTTTCACTCTTACAAATTAATATGTTTATGTTGTTTGATGGATTATGTTGAGATAATAGAATGGAAGGGAGAAAATCAAGAGGAAGACCATCTCTAGAACTGTAAAATATTGTGATTGTTTTCAGTGCTTTGTTCTGACCTCACCCCTTTCCTAAGAGGTCTGTAGGGGGTGTGCATAAGCGCACCAATGTGCCTACCATTCCTGTCCTATTGTTTCTTTTACTAATCATTTATAAATAAAATGATGCATAAATGTTGACACTTTACTTTCTAGCATGCTAATTTCTCGTTTATTTTATGTTATGTTACCATGTTAATAGGAAAAGAAAGGAGAGGGGAGAGGAGAGGAGACGAGATGAGACGAGAAGAGACCGAAGGGAAGGGAAGGGAAGGGAAGGGAAGGGAAGGGAAGGGAAGGAAAGGAAAGGAAAGGAAAGGAAAGGAAAGGAAAGGAAAGGAAAGGAAAGGAAAGG